TTGACTAGCTAAAAAGCACCATACTTAGTCATGCGCAAACAGCAACGTACTACTGTGAGCAATATAGGAATTGTCAAGCAATATTAATCTGGAAAGAGTCCTAATTATATCAGCCATTTCCAGGCTAAATTCTAGGAAAGGGATGCACAAACTCTCTAGCTGAGAACCATATTAACAAATGGGAGGGGGAATTGAGGGCTGAAATAACTATAGCTATTATGCAAAATGAGCAGGGGCAGATTTTTCTGGAGGCGGCAGGTTTTTAGGGGTGGAGTCTCTCTCTTAACTGTGATAAGTCTATTTTAAGACTTAAACTACAGTTTTTGTGCATTCCCAGCCACAAAATGACAGGAAAATGAATAGCCTATTTTCAATCTGGCGATTACAAAAAGAAACAAAAGGGGGGGTGGGGTGGAACCCACATGTGACCCATGGATACCGGCGTCCACTCCTGTTCTAAGAAGAAAATGGCCTACAGCAAAAAAAAAAAAAAAAAAAGCAGATACTGAAAAATGGCACAATTATTTCCCTAAGGACTGAGGTTCACATAATCTCTTCCTGTTCATATAACTGGGTCATGTAAGGTTTTTTTTTTTTTTAAATCTGTTTTCATCCCACTTCGCAGCCAACCATAATCATCAGAATGGCTTGCAATTCATTATCAAGACACAGAAAACATTTAGGTGCTAACATTATAAATCAGCATCTACAGATCATTAAGTAGCTAATGCCTTCAAAAAAAAATTTTTTAATGTTAAATTCAGAAGAAGATAATCACTGGACTACAGTAGCAGGGGTGCTACTGTACCTCTGTAGCAAGTGGGAAAAACAGGGCAAAAGATCCCTTTGGGGGGATTTCAGGAATCCCATACAAACAGAATATATTTTTGATAATCCCTTATAAAGTATCCACTATAGGATATTCAGGTCCATGAATATGTAGAGCTGCAAAATGGTATCAGAAGCACTTAAACTTTGCTGGTACACAACAAACAAATGTTCAAAAGCTTTAATCATCCACCTTTTTCTATTCAATAAGAATAAGGAATCTTTCTTGATAGTTCTTTCATTATAAATTATTGAAATAAATGCTTTGTTATAATTAATTTCTCTGGCATATCTGGACCCTCATCAAAAATGGCTGTCATAGTGGTTATTCATGAAGCATTTGTGAAAATCAAAGGAATTGCTGTAACAAGAAAGTCAAATTTATTTTTTTTACACTCTGAAGTTTTGGATTTCTGGTGACTGCCTGTACAAGTCCCTGCAGTTTTCCTGTCAAGGTTTTTCAGACGTGCCTTGCCATTGCCTCCTTCCTAGGACTGAGAAGGTCACCCAGATGGCTTCATGCTTACAAGAGAGCTAGAACTCATGGGTCTCCTGCTTTCTAATCTAGTATCTTAGCCATTATATTAAACGGGCTCTTCCTAAATAGAAATCAGATTCCAATTTCAAGATTACAGTAATGAGAACAAGGGAGAGTCGTGTTTGAAATGCTTTCTCAAATTACCCATCTGCCCCAAACTCAGATTTAGTTTATCTCACCATTGCCTTGGTTGCAACAGTTCCTCTTGTTCCCCAAGTTTACTCCTATTGCCATCCTTCATATTCACTTGTTTTTCTTAATCGCCATCCTTCACATTCACTTGCTTTTCTTAATTTTTCAATAATTTTAATATGTAAAGAAGTGCAAGAATACTGTACTAAGTATGCTTTGTTGCACCTCTAGGGTGCAAATCAGACTACTGGCTGTCCTGCATGGCTCAGGATATGGGTATTCTTCCAATTTTCTGCCTATACAATAAGAAGTCCTCTTAAATCTCTTTACTTAGGGAATATCACCTTTGTAAACCTTGGAGGTAGGACTTTTCAACTGCTCCCCCCACCACTTAGAATGGCATTCCCTCCTGAGTTCCATATGATTCCAACTTAAAATTTTTTGGAAAGGCAATTAAAACCCACTGATTCTTCCAATAGGCCTTGGGGACAGATATTCTCTATTGGAATGTGATGTTCTGTTTGAGTTTTATTGTCTCTGGCAATCAAGAATTGTGAGCTGTTTGGTAGCTGCTTGATTTTTATGTATATCTTTAACTTTATTTTATGCAATAGGTTGTATATGTTAACAGTGCCCAAACTCAAACAACCAAGCAAATGCTATCAACAACTGTGGCCTCTTCTAAGTAGATGTCTGAGCAATTGAAAATTAAGACACTTCACTTTTTCAAAGTAGGCTATTAAGAAATCTTTAAACATTTCCTCTTTGCATTCTCGAGTCTAAGACTTATTCTAAAGGATAACAAAAATTATTCAGAATTGTCAAAATCAGGGAAGAGGTAGAAGACCAAGAAAAATCTTTGATAGAATAATTCCTAAAATTGTCAGATCTTTGAAATAGACCCCATAGATAATTGCAACGATCTTGCTAAATGGTTTAGCTAATGCTGTCCAGAGTACAGTGCTCCTTATATAATGATCTTTAAATGACTTGGACCTACTTATTTATCCTTATCATGATTATCAGAAGGATAGACATAGAGAAAGACAGATAAAATGTCATTGTTTAAAATAGGCAAAAGAAGCCTTGATAAATCTGAAATCACTGGCCATAGCCACACAAGATCTATTTTGAGGGGGGGAAAAGTTTGAAACTAGGTAATCAGCTGCAATATTTGGACATAAAGATACCCCGGAATTAAGATACTAAGAAATTTTTAAGAAAGATTGTGAAAGCGGCGACCAGAGAAAGTGAAAAGTAAAATTGACAGATGAAAATGGCTTTGAACTTTGAAAGGAGTTAAATCTAAGGAGGAAATTAAAAGAAAATATTTGTTTAAATTGGATAAAAATAGACTTTGGCACTAAACAGGTATAATTAAAAGCTGAACTTGAATGTCTAAAAAAAAACAGTAATTGATAATTGGATTTATTGGATTTTTGAAACTTAAAAGCCCTAAATAGGAAAAAAAAGTGGAAAGAAAGGGGGGAAGTTGGACATAACAGAGAACGCCACCTAATGGTAAAGGGAAAATTTCAGTGACTTTAAAAAGTGCTTGGTTCTTTTAAAAGTGGAACTTGATATAAAAAAGGGGGAACTTTGTTACAATAAAATACAAACCCTGAAAAGTGCAGATATAGAATTCTAAGATAAAAGAAAGAAATAGGAAGAAATTACTTTGAGATTGTTTGGTGATTTTGGCACAACTCTAAACTTAGGATATTGGATTATTTGACACTCTGGAAAAAAAACCCAAAAAGGAATTAATAGAAGCTGATCGTTGGAAATAAACATCAAAGACGCTGGTTGAATTCAATTACTAGACAATTGGTTTAGAAAAAAATCTAAAAGAAGTATTTAAAAATGGCAGAATTTTTCATGGAAATAAAAATGGAACTAAGAAACATAAAGGAAATATTACATGAAAGAAATGAAAAGTGCTGTATTGCCTTACAAGTAATAGAAATGGCGATTCTAGTGCCAGAAAGGGGGAGTCGACTAAAGAAGAAGCCAGCTTTAATAAACAAATGGAACAACGAACATTAAAACGAAGGGAAAAAATGGAAATTAAAACTGGGAGGGCTTGAGGAGACAATTAAAAAGGGAAAAGTTTGGAAAGCCAAACAAAGAAAAAGGAAACAGCAAAAAAGGGAATTACAGAAGAATGCTTTAAAGAGGGAGGGGGATAAAAATTGGAGTAAGAAATGGAGGGAAAAAAATGAAGGAAAAAAAGGTAATAAGAGAAAGGACCAGGAAATAAGGAGATATGGAAACCGAATAAAACCGAATGAAAAGAAATGGTTTAGTTAGAGACATAGGGATAATGGGTAGATAAGGACTAAGAAAGGGGATTCTGCAAGGTATGTGTTGTAATATAAATGCATTTGAAGTAATAAATGATTTAGAAGGTAGAAAAATATAGACTTTAAAAATGAAATGATTGGAACTGATTTATTTATTTATTTTGCTACTGGGCTATTTGATACTGTTAAATTACACATAGATATAATTGGAATAAATGTGAAAAAGGGAAGCTATGATAAGGAGGCTAAATATGTTTAATAAAATTAAGAATATAATTAAAATGAACCATGAGGATTGTTACAAAAAAATAAACATCAATCTCTATGATCAATTGAATAGATTAATGTATTTGAAATAATAATTGACTTAGAATGTAATTAAGGGGGAAAATACCATGCGGAATCTGGCCTAAAATGCATCTGTGTTATGTAGTAGTTATGAGATTATTGTTACTAACTTATAAAGTGATAACTAAAAAGTGATTATATTGTGATAAATCATTGTTATGAATCAAAGGGGAGTTAATTATATGATGTACAAGATAAAGGGGTGGTACACTCAAATTAGTAATTAAAGGGGAATTTTTTGGATTATTAGAATTAAGAGAACTTTTTGAATAATGAAATAAGAGTATGTGATGAAATTGCAAATATGACAGATAAAAATATAAAAGTATAATGAATATGAAGACAGGAGAATTATTCAAAGAAAAAAGAAATAAGTTAAGATATGAATAGAAAATATATAAAATAAATGTGAAGAATATAAGAATATTTGAGAAAATTTACAGAAAATATAAAATGTAATGATATGATATGAAATTGAATGGGAAAGATGAATGTGTAACTAAGGTCATGTTTATATGAAAATGTAAAAACCTGGACTCACGCTGTTCACCAAAATATATGTTTTTGAAATATAAAAATAAAAAAAACTTTTTACAAAAAAAGAAACTAGGTAATTAGATTTAATTTGTATGGATTTATTATTTGAAAGTAAAAAAATAATGTATGAACTGTGTTACTTTATAACCATATGGGCTGCTGAAAATGCATTTTGTAAAACCTGAGGCTATTCCCTTTGTCATCATTTTAACTTCCACTGTTCTAAAAAACAAACAAACAACAGAAAACTATCATATTTCTGAGCCAGAAATGTTCACTGCAGAAAAAAAAATTCCAAAAGCAGAACTTGGAAGTCTTAAGCAGTCTACTCTTAGCTGGAAATCTATGGAGGCTGAACTATAGCAAAGTTCTGATGTCCAAACTTCCATATTTGACATATTCACTGCTTTCTTATAAACAAGTGCACCTAAATAATAAGTATCTGCAATAATCAAACTTTATTTCATCTGGTGCTTGTGTCAGTCCACTCAAGGATATAGTGAAACATAAAATTTGATCAAAGGTGCCAAATGTTGTATACATACCAGGTTAGAATTCAAAATGAGAAACATTAGAATTCAAATATGATTTTCAGGGTTGGATTTAGTTCTTTCAGGTGTTTCACTTTATTTCAATTATTTGCTCTTATAAAAGTAGCATTTATAATAATAACTGATAAAATTGAAGAGAAAACATTAAATAATGCAATGTTGCTGAAAAACCCACTATTTGGGGATTTTGTATTTTTGGATATTCTAGGAATACCCAATGTGGAAATTATATAAACTAATCCCAGATATGTGAAAGTACAAATGCACAGATTAATGCCTATAACCAATCAGTTGGAACTAAATGAAATAAAAACAATTTTCTAAAATATGAGAAGGTGTCATTACTAGGAAGAAAAAAATATTCTTCAAATAGCACTTAAAGAAAAACTAACAGCTGATAACTCTTTGGGAATAATGTTTAAAAAACAAAGTAAATCAAGAAAATGAATCACTGATGTCTAGTTGTTGGTTTTAATTTCTTAATTTAAATACAGTAATAGAAACAAGAATCCTAACATGTGCATGCACATTCTTTCCCTCCCTCCCTCCCTCCCTCCCCCCCCTCTCTCTCACTTCCTCCCTCTAGCTCCCTCCCTCCCTCTCCCTCCCTCCCTCCCTCTCTCCCCCCTTTATTTATTGGTCAAAATGTTATTCAAGATTTCTCTACCCATGTATTTAACCTTCTTACTGCACATCACTGCTCTTATCTGTTACTGGTTTATAAAAGAAAAGTTAATTTTTCAACACTGCCTTATTAGATCACAGTAAGAACACCATTGGATTGAGGAATAATATAATATATGGATTGGAAGATCATCTAAGAGAGAGGAAGGGAGGGGCGAGAGAGAGGGAGGGAGGGAGGGTGGGAGAGAGAGAGAGAGAGAAGGAGAGGGAGAGAAGAAGGGAGAGGGAGGGAGAGAGAGAGAATGTCTTTTGTACCATGAGAAACTGGAAGCTTGGCTAGATGAATCATGTTGTAGTAACAGATTTTTCCAATGCAGAGGAAGTTGGATTAGATGATCATGTGTGTGTGTGTGTGTGTGTGAGTGAGTGTGTGTAAATATCTGAAAGTTTGAAGACATCTGAAGTTACATAGGAAGGTAAGGTATTTCAGTTTTGCCATGTTTTATCTTTTATTACACTAATTTATTTTGCATGTGTTAATAGTCTTAATGGTATTTTAAACATTTGTCTTAATACACCCTACTCCCTCTGCCTACATGATTAAATACCCATATATTTCTATAGTCTTATATAAAAAACAGGTATTCCTCACTTACCAACCACAATCAAGAGTAGCAATCCAGTGCTGGAGTTATAAAGTGATTGTATTTGACTTATCATGTCAATTCAGTTGAGGTCACTGAAAGAGCTAATGTCACACAAACATTGTCGAATTTCCGGCCATTTTCTCCACTGACTGTGCTTGTCAGAACCTGGTTTTGAATGTGGCAATCTCATGACTGCAGGATGCTGCAATTGCCATACATTTGTGCCATTGCTAACCACGCAAATTCTGATCGCATGACTGCGGAGATGCTGCAGTTGATCGTAAATCTACTTTTTCAGTACCTTTGTAACTTTGAATACAGTCTATAACTGAGGAATACCTGTAATATTTTACTACTAATTGCTTCCTTCTCCCATGCTTTGCCAAAAATGCAAATAAAATAAAATAATTGTATAACCTTAATATGTATTATTTTTAAGCATGTATGTGCTTTGGGACCCAATTTTATTTCTATTTATTTATTTATTTGATTTGATTTGATTTGATTTGTCAATCGCTTACAAGTATAAACATGAGTAAGAATACAGGAAATAGGTACGAATAAATAGGGACAAAAGGACAGGGATGGTAGGCACGATGGTGTCCTTATGCACGCCCCTTACAGACCTCTTAGGAATGGGGTGAAGTCAATAGTGGATAGTTTAAGGTTAAAGGAGTGGGGGTTTGGGGATGTAACAACAGAGTCAGGTAGTGCATTCCAGGCATTGACCTGAAGTCAATGTTGCTGAAGTCATACTTTCTGCAATCAAGTTTGGAGAGGTTTAACACTGAGTTTGTATCTGTTGTGTGCTCTTGTATTATTGTGGTTGAAGCTGACTGGTAGGACATTGTAGCAGATAATTTTGTGTACTACCAAACAAAGCATAACATAAAAAATAACATAATAACCCCCACATAACCTTTCATTTCTGCTGTTATAAGTTATTCCAAAATAAAATATAATATATTTAATATATAAAACTTTGGGGGGGGAAATCCTTGCTAGTAGAGACCAGTACACCAATTTATGTGACCCAATAGCTAACCAAATGTATTCAGGCAGCTCCCAAGGGGGAAAAGGAGGGTCATTTTGTTTCATATTTAATCCCATGGATTGTAACTAATACGTCTATTCTAGTAACTGCCACAGGTGTGGTGATTACTGTATGAACAACCATCTGAAACCCAGATTCTATTCATTCGCTCAGTGTGATCTTTCTATTATTACAAACCCTTTACAGTGCAGTTTAGACACCGGGAAAGAACGAATGTGACAATTTAGTGAGAATTAGAAAACTGAGGGAGAATTGTAGGTTCAGCTTCACCTTAAACACAGCTAATAGTTTCAGGCAATGGCAAATCAGACTTGGCTCCTAGAAATTAATTGAAAGTGATAAAACCGATAATCTAGCTTTTTATATAATGCAAAAGTTTTCTCCATTTGTTTTAGTATTTTTGTTCAACTACCACTATTAAGAGAAGTAGAGGCAATGCATTGAGTAGTCTTAATAAAATGATTGTCTAAATAACACATTTCAGTTTTCAGAAAAAAACTTTGCTTAAGATCACAGAGATGGCTACCTTGGGATGGCTCACATACTGCAAAGTCAATTATCACATCAAACAAGAGGAAAACCTTCTAAGCACCAATTCCACCCGTGCTTTTTACAATTTTGTAAACAACAAACTAAAAGACTCAAGGTCCATTCCTCCCTTGATAGGACCTGATGGTAAAGACTGCAACGACGACACCATTAAAGCCAACATCTTTAACACATTCTTCGGCTCAGTATTTGTAAACAGCAATGGATCATGCCCAGTATTTCCTAGCCGTACCACAGATAACAACAATGATCTAATACATATCGATTTCACAGAAGACAATGTTGAAAAATCACTACGCAATCTAAAACCATCTCTATCTATTGGACCGGATGGAATATGTGCCTACTTCTTAAGAAAGCTATCCACTGCCATAGCCAAACCTCTAAGCATAATCTTTGAAAAATCTTTCAGGACCAGCTCCTTGCCTAACCTATGGTCACAAGCCACAGTCATCCCCATCTTCAAAAAGGGAGACCCAAGCCTAGTTGAAAATTACAGGCCAATCTCCTTATGCTGCGTCACCTGTAAAGTCATGGAATCAATTATTAACCAATCCATCATCCTCCACTTAGAGACAAACAACCTACTCTCCAATAAACAATTTGGTTTCAGAAAAAAACTATCCTGTAATATGCAACTCTTACACTGCAAAAACATATGGACGACACAACTCGACCAGGGCAAAGCAATAGACGCAATCTACATAGACTTCTGTAAAGCCTTTGATTCAGTGGTACACGACAAACTACTCCTAAAAATAAAATCCTATGGTATCTCTGGACAACTGAATAACTGGATAGAAGCATTCCTGTCAAACAGACAACAAATGGTCAAAATCGGGAGCGTCCTATCAAATCCAGTACCTGTCAATAGTGGTGTCCCCCAGGGCAGTGTTCTAGGACCAACTCTCTTCATACTCTACATAAACGACCTCTGTGATCATATTAAGAGCAATTGCGTTCTCTTCGCTGATGATGTAAAGCTGTTCAATACCACAGACAATACTGCTACCCTACAAAAAGATCTTGACTATGTATCTGAATGGTCAAACAAATGGCAACTTCAAATCTCAACAAATAAATGCTCTGTCTTACATATTGGCAAAAAAAATCAGAAAATAAAATACAAGCTGAACAGTCAAGATCTTGTTGATGACCCAAGCTCTGTAAAGGACCTTGGAATACTCACCTCTAATGATCTAAGTGCTAGAGCCCACTGCAACTACATAGCCAAAAAGGCATTAAGAGTTGTCAACCTAATCCTACGTAGCTTTTTCTCTGGTAATATCACACTACTAACCAGAGCATACAAAACATTTGCTAGACCAATACTCGAATACAGTTCATCAGTCTGGAACCCTCATTACGTATCTGATATTAGCACAATTGAGAAAGTCCAGAAATATTTCACAAGAAGAGTTCTCCACTCTTCTGCTCGTTGTAGAATACCTTATGCCACCAGACTTGAAATTCTAGAACTAGAAAACCTTGAATTACGCCGTCTTCGGTCTGATTTAAGCATGGTATATAAAATCATACATTGCAATGTCCTACCTGTCAATGAATACTTCAGCTTCAACCATAACAACACAAGAGCACACAATAGATACAAACTCAAAGTAAACCGCACCAAACTTGATTGCAGGAAATACGACTTCAGCAATAGAGTGGTCAATGTCTGGAATACTCTACCCGACTCTGTAGTCTCTTCCCCAAACCCCAAAAACTTTAACCTTAGACTGTCTACTATTGACCTCACCCCTTTCCTAAGAGGTCTGTAGGGGGCGTGCATAAGCGCACCAACGTGCCTACCGTCCCTGTCCTATTGTTTCTCTTATTCTTTTATTTTTCTTATATGTACCCATTTCATGTATTCACAACTATGTATACACTTATACTTATTATCTTGTAAACAATTGGCAAATCAAATAAATAAATAAATAAATAAATTGGAAGGTAATGCTGCCACCTTAGCAGATAAGTCCCATGTCAGTGATGATGTCCTTGCTATAAGCTACATACTTTAAGTTATGGAATTTGTTGCTAGAAATAGTAGTAGTTGTTTAGATAAC